TAAACTTATACTATGTGTGACTGGCCTTATACGAGTTTGCTTTTTCGAGTAGGAGTTTATATGCGTGCATATACAATCGTTTTCATATATATGTTCATCAGCTTTAAACTTGCTGAATATGAACAATGACTGCAGTACCAATATGTCATCTCACCTGATTGCTGATTGCGACAGGCTTGCACGCGCAAAAGAACAGCATATATGAAAGAAATGTGTTATCCACAGAGGAAGACATGAGCTCATTACATTTAATTCTGACATGGTCGAATAGATATAATCGATAATGTTTGTAACATATGGTGGATTGTTTAAATTCATATTCGCAAATTTTGGAAAATATTATTTTTTTCAAGTTCAAATGGAATTAAAATTTAGATGAAGTCTCGCTTAAATTGGATTGTTAACAGTAACGCGCGTTCCCATAAAATACTACAAGGTATGTAAATTATTAGTAGCTGCTTTTGACTTAGTCCGAATTATTCTGACGTTTTATCGCCTTTTTTCATATCGGTCTTAATCGACGACAGACCGATATGAAAAAAGTCGATAAAACGTCAGAATAATTCGGACTACTTTTGACTGTTCTATTTTTAGACAAACGAACTATAAACGTCACTGAAGCACGTGAAACCATTCGTTATCGCGGAAAAGTCGCTTCATGACAAGGGTTGTCAACCGTTTCCGAGAGCTGCTGTAGACCAAAATAGCTGCTGAGAATGCTAAGATTTTTGAGAATTCCTACTAAAGTAGCTATTTTTGACATGCGCGTATGTAATGTCGTAACCGGATAATTTATAATGCTTTTCACACAGAGGCTTGTAAAATAGAATCTCAATCATCTGTACTTAGGGCTAAAATTAGTCCCGTTTCCAAGAGGATTTTCATGATATAACTTTATTTACAATTATAGACATTTGTAACGATGGATATGGTGTGATGCAGGGACGTAACCAGGCGTACGCACGGACGCACGGGCTTCCACGTAATTTTTTCAAGTATACTTTTTTTCAGATAACAGGCGCATGATCGTCTACGTATATCAGGTTAAATTAATTATTACGCATTTGATAAAAAATATTAAAAGCCAAATATGAAAATGATAGGTATTTTATGTCTCAAACTGCACCAGAATTGGTTCCAGATTCAAAAAAAATCTCGGGAGCCGGGGGGTAACCCCCCTCCCAAACCCACCCCCTTCTTCGCGCTTCGTATGCTTCCACATACTCATAGTCCTGGTTACGTCCCTTTGATGTGACATTAACCTCAACTGTCTGTGTGTTAGCTGGAGTGTTATATATCCCCTCAACCAATGTATACAGTGCACCGTACAATGTAACCATACAACGATACAGTAACACGAATCACACGTGTAGGGCTACAGGGGAGAGTTCGTGTATTCCAAAGCTGAATTATTTTCAACATATTAAAGGCTACTTACGTTATATGATGATGGCGTATAATATTTAGTACGTACATTTGTTTATCATCTTTAAGATAATATTTACATAAATATTACACAATATCTATTTCTACTTTTCGACGTAAGTGTATCTACCGTATTCTATATCCAGCTTTTGGGCGGACAATTTTATTTTTTTTAATTTTCTTGAATTTAATTATTCATTTAAGATTATCGCGGACCGGACTAATGGGAATGCTTGGGCATGCACGTATGTCATATGCCTTATCCACGTGTGACTTTGTCAAATTTTAACAATTTATGCCTTGGCTTTGTCAGATTTTGTTAACGATCATATTTCATACGAATATATCTTTTTTCTGTGATTTAAACGCATACACAGCTAAACACACAGTTTTCTGTTAAAGCGCGCACATAGATAGGCTATTCTAATTACAGTTCTATTAGCTATTATAATGTTTTGTCGGAATTGATAAAAGGGATCTGCTGACTAACTGTGTGCTGGCCATCAAAAACACGTTTAAACGACTTTACTGAAGAAGAAAAAAACAGTTTCTAAAACGGTCTTTTTATGTGAGATATTCACTTTTATAAACTGACATTTTGTTTTTTATCAGAGCGTTTTGTGTGGGGGAAAGCTTGTCTATTCAGAAATGAATACTTTACAAACAGACTTTTGTTAAGTGAAATAATTTGTCGTAACTCTCTATATGACAAAAGAAATTCAGATGGTGTCTATAATCACAGAATGGTGATTAACGAAACTGGAATGACAGATCTTCAGCGCTTACCGTATTCATCAAAGGGGGCTAACTCGTGCGTCCGTGCGAGTTCACACGCCCGCGCCGTTTAACGCACAACAAATTAGGTAATAAAATAAGAGAAAATTATCGTAAAATAGAAATGAAGCATTTGATCAATAAGGCCATTATTTATAAGAAAATATAATAGAGAAGTATCTTTATACAACGTTCTCTCTGGAATAACAGGCTAAATGAGACAGTTTGGTAGTCCAAAATACCGGACTCCTCTTCTCGGTCCCTTCATATCATAAAGAGGAAATAGTCGTCTGTTTTAGTCATGGGGCATGTATGTTGTCAATACACATAGGGTATCCAGACCCCATCCTCGATACTCCAGGGGTTGTACGCCGACTTACGTTCTCTGCACAGCGAAAGTGAGCGTAACCTCTGGGTAAGCGAGGATTTCCAGGCCCGGACAGGGTATGAGTAAAAAAAAACTCTTTGTTATCTGTATTCACGACACAGTCAAAGGAATTATCACAATGTTTCATGTAGTAATACTGTACGTATTTTATATGAAGGTTTCAGATAGAGACTAACTGTCATAATTCGTGCATGTACTGTACTATTAATGTATCCGTATTATGAAATTTATAAATACTGAGTAGAACGTACGCTAGTTTGTGTCGTTCAAGACGTTTATAAAAATAACGAACTACCTATCGTAATTGCACTGTGCCTTATACATATACAATTTGTTCGTATATTGCTATCCAGGTACTCGTGTCGTCATTTAGACTGTACCGGTTTGTCAGTTAATAACTGAACACGTGACACCCTAACCTCCTTTTCGTGAGGTAGGTTCAGTGGATATTGTTGCTCAAGGTCATGAACAGTGCTATTTACACATACCCCATTAAATGCTATAGGGTCCGTTGTTTCAATGCATTTTTCGTTCTTGAATTCTTTCGTTAGTAGATCTAAAGACTGACGTGACATAACAATGCGTGGGGGAAACCTATATGATTTTAGGGGTTTGAAAACCGTGCATTCAGTTATCGTTTTGAAAACGCCCATTATCAGCAGATGGAATTTTAAATTTTCACTTTCCTGAAGTATATTTATTTTTCTCATGGCGGTCGGGTGGCACAGTGGATAGCTCTAGCATTTCACCAAGACGGCCGGGGTTCGATTTCTGGACGTAAAAATGTTTTGGGTCACCTGTCCGACCACGTGGAATTTCTCCGGTACACCAGTTTCCTCCTAAATTAAGACGGCCTAAGAGCGGTTAATATATAAGTTTAAAATGTTTTAGAATTGTTGTAAAATGAATAAAATTTATATAAATTTATACGAAACATTTTTGATTGGTTTGCTGTACTTTTTCCAACCGTCGGTACAGTAATACTACTTCACACTCTACACGTTAACTACAGGTTGGTATTTACTTGGGGCTAAAAACCATAACGCTAACATCCTCGAACGGTTATCCCTCGACCACAGAGTATTGAGTAAACAATTCTTTAAGTGTAGTTCGCAGTTTTCTTCGTCCCTAATTGGCTCGACTTTAGCAGGGAACACCTGAATTACTGTTATTGATTTGACATGAGTCCATGGTATTTGTATGGGGACAGGGGGATAGGACCAAAAAAATGCCAGTCAATGAAAATAATGTCATTTCTCATCCTAAAATATCCATGTAAAAAAGGTGACATTTCCCCATTTGCTGCATGTATCTCTCTGTATCACGGTTTAGATTTAATGTAATATTCCGTGTTTATATAGGGCGCCCCTCCCCAACCCTTCCCCAAATGCGCGCGCGCACGAATTTCGGACCTGAGCAAGACTGCGACTAATATGTCATTATGAAGTATATCGCTCTGGTAATGCGTCTAATGAAGCTATTTTTTCAGGTTAAAATAAACATTTTAAAAGAAAATATGTATTTTTTTTAACAACTTCAGATAAAAAATGAAAATCGTTGAAGATTATAAAGTGCTCCGATTTAGCGCACACACCTTTCCACTTTGCACCGCTCGGAGATAAACAAACCTTCTTATCATCCGGGCTTGTAGATTCCCTTAACTTATTGATTTGCTTTTAGAGGCCATGTTGATACGTTTAAACAATAAAAGTTAACAGAAAAAAATGAAGTTGACCACATATAGCTTCTAAATTTCTTTCTATACGCCTCATATTGACATATATCGATACATATTTTGGTTTGGTCCACAATTTTAAGGCAAATACATTTGTTATTTTTTGTTTTTTTTTGCAAAGTGCCAAAAAATCAAGTCTATTTCACAGGACCGGATTTAAAAGATTTTTTTTTACTAAAACATGAATGCTAAAAATTGGTGATACCTAAAATTTAATTGAATTCTAAAGCTAAATTAAATACAAAATTCCCCAATGATCGCACCATATATGGAGTTATTCTAAATTTCATTTTTTTTCTCAGGGGAGCTTTCTAGTCCTAATTCCCTCAGAGAGCACTCAACTCATCAGTTATCGCACCTTTGGCGAAAGGAGTATACGAAGTCATGGCTTCAAAAATTGTTAGCCTACTCCTTTTCGAAATTCCTGTTTCCATCTCTGTCTGTGCATAGATGTCTATTTTTGTTCAAGCTGAGAATGTGATTGCTGTCACAGATTTTTTTTTTTTTACTTCAATGCGTCAATTTTTGCTCCCGTCACAATATGCCTCTATTATCGTACTGACTGTAGATTATACACAGGGCGATAACCTCAAGATAACAGTCAACTAAATGAACAAGACCTCCATGTTAGGTCAAATTGAAGTTAAACATTTGCACTGTTGCCCTGAAATGTGTGTGGGAATTATCTCCCTTGGTTTCTCGTACAGCAGTCGCTTGAAAAGTGGCGAGCTATCAGCTAGTGTATCAGAGTGTTTCGGAGGGTCTAACGTATCACAGCGGGATGCAGGGGTCCTTCCCCAGGGGGTGACAGCTATGGCCCGACCCCAAGGGCGCTTGTGCAACTGTAACATGGGCTGTCGAAGGCAAGAGGATTGTCGACAATGAGAAACATGTTGACGTCGCGAATGTGAAAGTAGGACACCGCCCACGCATACATGTGTGTGTCGCTTATCGCACTGTGACCGATATTTCGCTCAATCACAGACATTGGCGCTCATTTCGATAGAATACACAAACTGTAGGCAGACATTTTAGGTACACATATGGACTACTATATTCACCGTGGAAGAAATATGTGACAGGAAGGTACATTTTCACGGTAAGTTAGCATAATTTTGTATTGTAACCTCAGTAGAAATTTTTGCGGCCTGAAATTTTCACCGTAAACATTTTAATTACATGCAAGTATTGCAGCTCTAGGCAAGCAACGAAATAGAATGGAAGTAAGACGCCTCATTTTTTTAATATGGTTTATTGTCTACCAAAAGACTTAAAGTATTTAATTAATTTTATTTCTTATTAGGCCTGAAACTATTATAGTATTTAAATATCACGGAGTTAGATTATCTATAAGTCCTTGGTATTATTGACAATTTGACTTTAGCTATATTATAACTATAAGTAGAACTCCAAATTCTATACATGGTATATTTTAAATATAATTGTATGCATAATGTATGCTATCGTATGTCAATCAACCTAGTAGAAAATATTAATGTTGAATTGACTTTTAAATTGTGAAAAAAATGTTTTGATTTCAGTTGCACTTTGTGGACTAATTACTATTTCAATTGCATTTGTAATCGCTTAAAGGCCATGTTTACTGATTATTCTTAAGCAGCAAAAATGAATCATGACAAAACTTTTGTTGATTCCTAAATCCATCACAAACAAGTATATCACACCATGAATATGTACGCCTCTCATGATCAGAATATGATAAAAATATTCCTACAATATAATTTCAATTTAATCTGTTTTGATATAGTTGGGATTGTTTACCGATAGCCCACTGCTGAGCTAGGGAAATACGGTCTCATAATTATAATGATTCCTAGGGAAGGAATTCAGTTCAAGGCAATGTTACGAGACCAAAGCACCCACAGCAGAAGGCATTTATTGATTAAGGACAGATGTAATTATAGGCAGGTACTATAACTTTATTATCCCCACGTGGTTTGTCTATCAGTGTCCAAGCTTTTAATTGTGATACATCATGTTCTACATTCCCTACATGCAGATCTTAGATTGCAATAGTTTATCTTCAGTAATTCAATACATTGATGTCTAGGTCAAAATTTATTAACAAATTGTCAGTTGTTAAAAGTACATCAAACTAGTTGATGTTTTCGGCAGTTACAAAAAAATGTAATATATTTATGTTGTACTGTTTAGCATTCATATTATAATGGCTCTTAGAATTGGATATTTGGACATGCGTGCCGCTTGTTCAGGCTTATTTGCTGATGTTGATGACTAAATATTTCATTTATCTTGCAATGATATAAGCCCATGCCTGGTAATAAGCCCAACCATGTCAATTACAGTTCAATAGAATTACTAGCAAATGATACTTCATTGTCCTGTAATGGACCCACCCCCTACATTGAGTCTAGAGATTATGTGTTGGTCCCCTTGACTTATTGGAGGATAAACACAGTATTTATAAAAGAAAGTGATTTCCTAGCAAACAATAAGAGCTCACTGTTTTATTTAGATTTAAAGTTCAGTGAAAGGTCTTGTTAAATGGGTATCCAGATTGTCCAGGTATCCAGATTGTCCATGTGTCCAGATTATACAGGTATCCAGATTGTCCAGGTATATAGTTTATACAGAATTCTAGATTATACCAGTGTCATGCATAACATGTGCCTCTTGCTTAAATAGTATCCAGACACTTTTCATATTCCTGTCAGGTCCTGACCAAAATGTACCCCCCAGATACTTTTCATACACGTGACCAAAATGTACCCCCCAGATACTTTTCATACACCTGACCAAAATGTACCCCCCTAAATACTTTTCATACACCTNACTTTTTATACACGTGACCAAAATGTACCCCCCAAATACTTTCATACACCTGACTAAAATGTATCCCCCGGATACTTTTATACACCCAACCAAAATAACCCCCGGATACTTTTATACCCTGACTAAAAAGTGCCCCCCCTATCTTGTATTTTTGTAAGTGCTTAAAAAGAAACAGGGAGTGAGGATGGGGTTCTTAGATTCACAATAAAAAAAATTAGGAATTTTCTTGGCTACATTTCAGATGTAATACAGAAGGTATACAGGGGATACATATTGGTAAGGGTATCAAAAGTATCTAAGAGGAACATTTTGGTAAGTGGTATAAAAAATATCTTGTGGGTACATTTTGGTTGAGTGTATAAAAAGTATCCGGGGATGGGGAGTTGAAGAGGGGTTTGGTAATGATAGTTTCTACATGACTTGCAAACCTTATTGTTGCCCGTGATTGAAAATTATCTAAGCATAATTTCCAGGCCCCAGGTGTGAGGATTTGGTGGGGTAGGGGTGGATAAATATTCCCCTGTAACATCCTGATCAATTTCTGAACTCAATTGGACTAAAAATACAGAAATGTAAGATTTTTCATAGGGGGGGTGTGTTACTTTTTGGTCAGTGTATACAAAATATCAAGGGGGTACATTTTGGTCGGGTCTAGATTATACAAGTGTGTAGATTACACAAGTGTGTAGATTATACAAGTGTCTAGATAATACAAGTATGTAGATTATACAAGTGTCTAGATAATACAAGTGTGTAGATTATACAAGTGTCTAGATTATACAAGTGTGTAGATTATACAAGTGTGTAGATTATAAAAGTGTCTAGATTATACAAGTGTGTAGATCATAGATTATACAAGTGTGTAGATTATACAAGTGTATAGATAATACAAGTGTGTAGATTATAGATTATAGAAGTGTGTAGATTATACAAGTGTGTATATTATAAAAGTGTGTAGATTATACATGTGTGTAGATTATACAAGTGTGTAGATTATTCAAGTGTGTAGATTACACAAGTGTGTAGATTACACAAGTGTGTAGATTATACAAGTTTGTAGATTATACAAGTGTAGATTATACAAGTGTGTAGATTATACAATTGTGTAGATTATAGATTATACAAGTGTGTAGATTATACAAGTTTGTAGATTATACAAGTGTAGATTATACAAGTGTGTAGATTATTCAAGTTACACAAGTGTACAAGTGTCTAGATAATACAAGTGTGTAGATTATAGATTATATAAGTGTGTAGATTATACAAGTGTGTAGATTATTCAAGTGTGTAGATTACACAAGTGTGTAGATTATACAAGTGTCTAGATTGTAGATTATACAAGTGGGTATATTATATAAGATTGTAGATTATACAAGTGTGTAGATTATGCAAGTGTGTAGATTATACAAGTGTGTAGATTATACTGGTCAAAGTTCAAATCAAGTGTGTAGATTATTCAAGTGTATAGATTATACAAGTGTGTAGATTATACAAGTGTGTAGATTGTAGATTATACAAGTGTGTATATTATATAAGTTTGTAGATTATACAAGTGTGTAGATTATGCAAGTGTGTAGATTATACAAGTGTGTAGATTATACAAGTGTGTAGATTATTCAAGTGTGTAGATTATACAAGTGTCTAGATTATACAAGTGTCTAGATTATACAAGTGTGTAGATTATAGATTATACAAGTGTGTAGATTATACAAGTGTGTAGATTATTCAAGTGTGTAGATTATACAAGTGTGTAGATTATACAAGTGTGTAAATTATAGATTATACAAGTGTGTAAATTATAGATTATACAAGTGTGTAGATTATACAAGTGTGTAGATTATTCAAGTGTGTAGATTATACAATTGTGTAGATTATACAAGTGTCTAGATTATACAAGTGTGCAGATTATATAAGTGTGTAGATTGTACATGTTATACAGGTATTAAAATTACACAGGTGTCTCAATTATACAGGTATTAGGAAGATATTTCTTTGGATTATACAGGTCTTAGTTATACAGGTATTCAGCTTATACAGGGATCCATATTATGCAGGTATTCAGCTTGTACAGGGATCCAAATTATAAAGATATTCAGATTATACAGGGATCCTGATTATACATGTTTTCAGCTTATACAGGGATCCAGATTATAAAGATATTCAGATTATACAGATATCTAGATTATAAAGGTTTCGTTGCACTACAGTTTGTTAAGTATATTGACATCATAACCAAGATAACCAAATTAATGATAATAAAATGTATGTTTGATAAAATTAAAAGAGTACAACTATGTTACAAAAAATTGTCTCCCTGCAATGAAGTGTTTCTATGTTGTATTTCACAGTACAAGGACTAACATTGATCCACAGTTGGAAGAATTCCATATAGTGTTTGTACTATTCTGTATAATAGGTGTATATTATATCAATTATATTCCTATTAATGACAGCAGCTAACAGCATTCTGAGTTGATATCGTAAATATATAATTGTGAAATATTAACCCAAAGGCACATACTTTTCACTAAACACTACAGGGAAAGGCTTTTGTTAGACGCTATATAGCCAGCCATATGCTCTTGAGTTTATGCAGTTTTCAAGTACCAAATGGAAATGGCGACACAGATATCTTGTATAGATGGAAAACATCTCGAATAAATTTGGAGCATAGAAATATATATTAAGCACTATATCAATAGACATTAGGAGCCAATTTACTGTAGAATAAATATTTTGGTGCGCTGGTAATTAATCCCTTCCCTGTGTTAACGTTGTATGTTATGGATACAGGATTTTTTCTATCACGATAGATTTGGATTTTGGCTGCATTCCCAATGAGATTTAGACATTTTCACTCTAATCTTAAAACAGAAAGATTAACAAGAAAGAACAATAATCAAAAGGTTTTGCTTAAACAGCATGTTATAATTTCATTTCCTAATTTTCTGCATAGGTGCAAACAACAAGTAGGAATAGGACGTTCTTTTTATTTGGAAAAAAAATGATGAAAAAGGGAAGAAAAGTGGAAGAGGTGAATTGTTACTAAATCAGTTTTCCCAATTCAGGGGAGATCGTTGGTAACTCCTAAAACCCCTAGAAACCCCTGGACATGTCCTTCCAGCTGACAGCATTCATTTTAGTGTTGTTACTTTCATAGTTTTATAGTTTTGGGTAGGGTTTTGAAGAAACAAAATGAAAACTGTGAAGACCTTCAAGTTTCATGAATGATAACTTGTTTTAGGGGTAAGGGTATGAACATTGGTTGGTTATGGACACAAAGTA